TCAGTCGGTGTGCAATGGAGGACAATATGTACAAATAGATCACGGACCATTCCAGAAGAGGCTGTGAAGATTGCATCTTGCACGACTGTGTCGAATTGGGTGTTATCATTAAGGAGACCAAGTGCAGTACATGCAACTTGAAATGTGGGGTAGATTTTGTTATCGACTATTCGAAGTTGGAGAAATGATGTTGCACCTCGCGAGTGGGGTGAGAGGAGGAACATTCGTAGATAAAAGGCATCACCTGCGTTAGGGTGAATTGTGTGTACACGACCGATTGTGTTTGTGAAATGACGACGTAAAAACCATTCTTTTTTGGTTTTATCGAAGAAGAAGCGACGCAGCATGTCTTTGTATAGTGGTTTGGTATCATGAGGATCATTAATATGCGCGAGATTCTATTTAAAGTTTAAACCATGCAGTGAGTTCAGTTTCTGGTGGGGGCCGATTTCTCATTTGGTGGGCTTGGGTCAGGCGAAAGTATACTCGTTGTCTGTCTTCTGTATGGACAGGAAGTGCAATGACAGCGGGATATCGTCCAAACGGTGAGAATTCAAAAATTCGCCAACATGCTTCTGCTGCACCGATTGTGCGCGTGTCTTGGAATGTTTGAATCTCATCATTTGTGTTCGTCATCTCTCCAACCATAGCTCTATCGGGACCTTTCATATTATATTTTAACATATAGCGATAGGCGGCAGTAGATGCGCAAATTTCAACATTCAAATGACAACGATATCTAAGCAAAAGGTAAAGGTTATATGGGACAACCCAAGAGTTATCAACTTGGTCGTTTTCTCGGATACCAATTGTTCCTGCATTGGTAGGTAATCGTCGATGATATATCGGGTAACCTGTTTCTTCTTTCCATGTTGTACAAGCGGAGAAATCTTTGGGAAAGTGATGAGAACAACGATCATTGTGCATTCAGGGAGCTTGCATATTGTATGGTCCACAGGGGTTGCGTATCATGTATTTGAGGACGAGTTCGCGAAGTGTGGGGTTGAATGGGATTTCAGCACATACAACAGAGTCAATTTGGTCAGGTGTAAAAATTTTGTGTTCATTTGTAAAAGTTACAACGAGGTGTGCATGTGGTAAGCCGCGTGTTTGGAACTCGATGACATATATATAAGCAGCAGTGGCGCCGAAAATGTGTGTAGAATGGATACTGTGGACGAGTTTTTGCAAATATCCTTTAAAGACTCGTGCAAGAAGATCAGATCTATCCGACGACTATTGATATGGGAATAGAGAATTTTGGATTTCGGGTCAGTGAGAGTTACATATAATTGTTATAAAAAGATCTGGAGGGCCGAATTCTTGCATAGCTGCCATAGAATCCTGGTAACGTCGGTGCACCACTCGAAAAGAGAAGAACATAATGTAGGGGGTCAAAAACGCGATTTGTTTTAGGTATTGGTAAGATGCCACCGCCACAACGATGTATTATGATATCTCGTTTTCATGCCTCGCTGTCACGCATTAATAAGCACACTTCTTGAAGGGTTTGTGGTCTATTATATCTTCGTTCATGTTCGTCGTGTGGTCGCGCATCAAGATTGATGATGAGATGATGTTCATGTACCATATCATCGGGAAGTTCGGAAACATAAATTAATTCTCGAACCCATCGATTGCATTCCACGAGAAGGTGGCGAAGTTTTCGTAGAAGACGTTTAATGTCTCGAACAGCTGCGCCCTGAATTTTCGATATTTTTTCGATGAAAGCCAAATACACCCAGACTCATGGCAGATCTGAATCTCCCCGGGGAAAAAAAAACATATATTAATTTCCACCTTGCAGAAATAAAAATAGAAAGCAGCGTTCCTGCAAAAAAAAATCAGAAATTCGGGCATGCAACTACACATAAAAAATGTTTAATATTTCCGTATGATCCTCACAGTCCGTGTGGGAAAAACAAAAAAAATTGCAGACAACCGGTCTGCGAAATCGTGAATGGCTATCATCCCAAGTGAGAACATAATATCTCATGCTTCTCTCTTTCTGTCACGCATGTTATTCTTTTCGGCTCGATTCTGATCGTTCTATCTTCTCTTTTTCCGTTCTTCCTATTCTACATTGTTCCATCTGTCCATACTCTAAACGGAATCGTCGACTGCTCGTTCTCGTGGACCAGATAGAACCCGTGGTGACAGAGCTCGCCGGTTCAGACAAACACACATGGAACATATTCCACCTCGTTCGAATGCTGCCCGAGAGCACACCACATCACTTATCTCACGTCATATAGCAATTGACATCACAACACTCGGAAATAGAATATTGTGCACACATTACCGCGCGGAGAAATTGATACATGAACAGACATGGATAACACTCTGCTGTCGTCGGGGAAAAATTAACCCTCCGCTTTGGAAATACCCTGATTCTGATACACCTGCTTACCAAATTCTTGCTCTGTGGGAAACCAATAAAAACGAAGCAAGATTGCTACGTTCCCGAGCACGATAATTTAATAATGCCCTTGCACTCGCAACACAAGTTGTTCGAGAGCCACAACTGCCTCCGGGCCATTGGGCCGGTATGTTGAGAATTGCTAGTCACCTTCACCAAAATCTTGGCCCTCTTTTTCCCGAACCTGATCACCCGCCACAATTCACACAACTTTATTTATATGATCCACAAGATCAGCATGACACCACTATCATACGTTTAACAAGACTTAATCGTCCAACAGACCAGCAACCCTTCATAGAGAGACAACAGTGAGAAACCCTGCACAACACCCCAAGGCAATCAAGCAGAGACTACAGGCTATTCAGAGAGAGAGAGAGAGAGAGAGAGAGAGAGAGAGAGAAGGACAGAGAGAGAGAGAAGATTATTCTTGAAATTTAGGGGATTCTTATGACGGGAGGAATGTTTTTTTGCTTCTCAGAAGACAACATGCCAGCGAAAAAAAAAACACATGCTTTCATGGAAAAATATAGAAAATTTTAGGAACTGCGAGTATCATAGGGAAACAGTTTTTTTTTTTTCCTGCAATTTGGAAACCGGCGTATATTTTTTTTTTCTTTCGGGGGGATCCAACACGAGGAAAAAAAAAAACAACTCCCGGTCCCTCCTCTTCATTTGCTTTGTCGGTTGAAATTAAAAAAAACAAAACACAATTACATGGCAATCGCCTGTAAAACGGTTTTCACCTTTTAGCAGTAGGGTTCGATCCCTAGACCTCACCCTACCCATGTACAGTATTTGTGTAGACCCCGAGAATTGAACCTGTGACCTGTGTATTCGTAGGCAGTTGGTAGGCCTGTCGTTGGTCCATAGGCAGCAAGGGTTCGATCTGTAGGTCTATATCGTAGGAGTCTTAGTGAGTTCCGGAAGCTTAGCTGTAGACCTTCTAGAAGGTAGGCAAGTGGGCAAGTGGTCAAGTGGAGAGGCAAGTGGTGGACTAAACCGCAATGCAACTGCAGTACAACATCGGTAGGATAGCGGTAAGCCCACAGTCAGTCAGCGGAAGGTCCAGTCAGTCCCAGTCCGGTCCAGCAAGTACCACAGAGGGACTGTGAGCACCAAGGGCCGATGGCAAAGGGCAGACCAACGAGTTTCTGAAGTATAAATCAAGAGGCAGCGCCCAGCCGTTCATTAATTCCTGCGTGAGCCATGCAGAAGCGCTGCCACAACGACTTGTGCAAGGAGGTCTGCAGATGAGCCCGAAGGACGCAGTGGGCTGGAGAGAGGGAGTTAGCATAGCCATAGGTTAGATGCAGCGACAGCTGCCATAGCTGTAGTTAGTAGTGAGTGTGTGTGTGTGCTCGAGTGTTAGAGTGATGCGGGTGGGATATCAAGGGTGATCCAGTGTATGTGAACAGTGAGATGTTTGGGCGCTGAAGTCGTCATAGGCATTTGAGAGTGAACTCGTGTCTGAAAGCCATATCTTTGAGTTTGAGTGGACGCATGTCGCCAATATGCTGTGTTGCTGTTTACATGCATGAAGAGTGTGTTTGAGAACGAGTCTGATTGCATTGGTATCAGAGCTGGTACCTGCTATTCCATGCGCGCCGTCGTATGCAGGGCCTGATGCGCCATAGCCGAGGTGGCAGCCGAAGGAGATAAGCCGCCATAGCGGAGCTGAGGTTGATGAAGCCGCCGCGCACCTGCAAGAAAACCACGACAAAGAAGAAGACTGAGACACACACACACAGAGAGAGAGAGAGAGAGAGAGAGAGAGAGAGAGAGAGAGAGAGAGAGAGAGAGAGAGAGAGAGAGAGAGAGA